GTATGTTGTTTTTGGACTAGCTTATATGGTAAGGTTGTGACTTAAATTTTAAAATCTATTTGAAATAACAAAAAAAAAAGAACATTAAATTCCACCCTAAAAGAACACAAACAAACTTTAACATACATGTATAGAAACAAAAGACAAGTGAAGTGGAAACAATATTAAAACCAGTCATCAGAATCTGCTACAAAGAGGGACAGACCTTATGACCTAAATAAGTTTATTGATCTTGTACTACTCAGTGAAATAGAACCCTTAGTACACACCATTCCTCCAATCAACCACCAAGAAGCGAAAAAAGTTGGTGATTTAGCCATTCCAGAGAAAGGACATGCATGTTTCTTGGTGTAGACCTAGTATTAGTGATTGCTAATTAAAGTTCAAGTAGTATTTCGATGATGGGACTTGTTGGAATTATTTGGGTCGTCGGAAATTATTTACATTATTTTAGTTTGAGTTACTTCCCTTTAGTTTTTAATTTGAAGTTAAGGGAAATAACTTAAAACAGTGATTTAATATTATTTGGAAAGCATTTGTTATACAACTCAATATTACATTAAATGTATGCTATGACCTTAAGAATAAGTTTTAAATTACATATATACAATGTTTGTCAAAAGTATATGTTTTATGGATATTAGATTTAACAAGAGTCACACCTTGACTGAGAAAACTGCTAGCGCAATTAAATGATATATTACAAGACACTTGAACACTTCGATTTTTCAAAGTATTGTCTCGACATTTTTTACTTTGTTTTGGATTCACGTTAAAAAATTGTACATAATGAATTGTGATAACAACAGCATTCAGTAGACAAGGTAGCGAGACAAACTAAATCCGTGAATTACATGTATGTATTACCGCCTAGCAAAATGAAATACTACACAGGGAGCCTCGGCTACATTTTAAAACGTTCAACTTTGTAGCGATGACCGCTGACATGAACTCAACCATTATCGTTCATTTAGAAAGGAGTGAGTTGGTATTAGCAATATACATTCTTTGAAAGATATTAACCTGGTATCGTTCATTTAGAATAGAGTGTGTTCATGTTAAAAATATACATTAAAAATATACATCTTCATATTATCTTGACAATACTCTAACAATGCGTATCTGTGAAGTTATGTTTTGTTTGGCTAAGATTCTATCCACTCAAAATAAATAATCCCATAGCTAATAATCATTTATAATTAATACACATTTCATAGATGTGTATAGTATTGAATACTTAATAATACTAACCTCATGTAGGAACCTTTTTTTAGTAAGATTTATTTGATCTCTAAGTAACAATGTGTGCACTAATCGGTAGTTATACAATCCGTTAAATGTAGTTGGTGAATGGTGAATGGTTGCATACTATACACAGTTCTATATTTAGTTAGTCAGCAGTTTGTGTTTCCTTCATAAAATGTACAACTTCCTTTAGCGTATGTTATGTCAAGCATAACCTTATCAGGACTGTCCGTTACGTGTATGTTACCGACATAGTTGACACATGTGTGAGGCCTGACAGGGTCTAACAACACACATAAGAAGAAAATAAAGACAGAATAAAAAAAAAGAAGGGAAACAGTGAAATAATTACAAAACCATTATACAAAGGAATTTTGCGAACGATATATTCATTCACAGTGTATAAAGTATTTGAGCTGACGTTGTCCTTCTGATTAATAATATTTTTTTTAATAAAAGAAAATACATATCAAAAAGAATTATTCTGCACAGCAGTTGTGTTCCTCACGAGCCGATGCAGAAAAGTGTAATACTTAATTGAACAAAGTATCGCTGTAAACTACATGTCTGAGGCTAAAAACATGTCCCCATTACCTGCAGTCGATAAAATCACACCCTCTGCCCCTCCCCCCTACCCCCAGAAACTAAAACATAATCTTTTCAACACTCAGACATGTGTGGGAAGTTTGTCACTGTTCGATAAAAGTGACTGGTTCTGATATGAAAGCTCTTGTATACACCTTATAGGTTGTATCTTACAATTGCTATTAATATAACACTAAACTACGGCAACACTAGATACTTTATTAAACACAGAATTAGCGACGATTACTTTAAAATTAAATAATATTTATTCAAGCGGCTATTACTATATTAGCCGATGCTGGGTGCTAGCTGTTTATTAAATACACAAGTCACGGTTCTTTGATAGAGGTTTTTTTTTTTCATAAAGTCGAGTGTATGGCCTTGCCGTGACGACTAGTTAAGGTAAAACCTTCAAGACAGTATATTCAAGTGGCTATTACTGTAATAGCCGAGGCAGGCATCAATAGATGCATTAGTGTACTCAACATGAAGTGACCATACGGTTAGGTTTTCTATTATAATACACGTTTATTTTGTTAAAACTTCACGCACCTCTCTAAGCAAACTTAATTTCGTTTTCTTCATTTTGGCAGACATAGTTGCCATGGTTACAGGTTTAAAACACTGGACAACGACACCATGTAAAGAACTACCATATTAAACGCAGTGT